AGAGGGTATAGAGGTAATTTTAGGAGCATGCATGCGGTGGTTACGCTAGTTACACTCGCTACGCGGCTACATAGGCTCTGGAGGTAAGCCTAGGAGCATGCATTTAGTGGCTAAGCAACTACTTGGGTATAGAGGTAACCTAAGGAGCATGCATGCGGTGGCTACGCTAGCTTCACTCGCTTAGCGGCTACAGAGGTTCTGTAGGTAAGCCTAGGAGCAGGCATTCGGTGGCTACTCTAGCTACACTGACTACGATGCTACACAGGGTCTGGATGTAAGCTTATGAGCATGCATTCAGTGGCTACGCTAGCTTCACTGGCTATGCGGGTACAGAGGGTAAAGAGGTAACCTAAGGAGCATGCTTGCGGTGGCTACGCTAGCTACACTCGCTACGCGCATACACAGGATCTGGATGTAAGCCTAGGAGCATGCATTCAGTGGCTACGCTAGCTACACTGGCTACGCCACTACAGAGGGTATACAGGTAAACTAAGGAGCATGCATGCGGTGACTACGCTAGCTACACTCGCTACGCGGCTATAGAGGTTCTTTAGGTAAGCCTAGGAGCAGGCGTTCGGAGGCTACTCTAGCTACTAGACTACGCTGCTACACAGGGTCTAGATGTAAGCCTAGGAGCATGCATTCAGTGGCTACGCTAGCTACATTGACTACGCTGCTACACAGAGTCTGGATGTAAGCCCAGGAGCATGCATTCAATGGCTACGCTAGCTACATTGGCTACGCTACTACAGAGTGCTAGATGTAACCTTAGGAGTATGCATGCAGTGGCTACGCTAGCTACACTTGCTATGAGGCTATAGAGGTAACCTTAGGAGAATGCATGCGTTGGCTACACTAGCTACACTCGCTACGCGGCTATAGAGGGTATAGACTCTATACCCTCTATATACTATAGAGGTAACCTTAGGAGAATGTATGCGGTAGCTACGCTAGCTACACTGGCTACGCGGCTACACAAGGTCTGGATGTAAGCCTAGGAGCATGCATTAAGTGGCTCCGCTAGCTACACTGGGCACGCTACCACAGAGTGTATAGAGGTAATCTAAGGAGTATGCATGCGGTGGCTACGCTAGCTACACTTGCTACGCGGCTACAGAGGGTATAAAGGCTTAGGAGAATGTATGCAGTAGCTACGCTAGCTACGCGGCTTAAAAGGGTCTGGATGTAAGCCTAGGAGCATGCATTCAGTGTTACGCTAGCAACACTGACTACGCTGCTATGGTGGTACACAGGGTCTGGATGTAAGCCTAGGTTCATGCATTCAGTGGCTACGCTAGCTACACTTGCTATTCGGCTATAGAGGGTATAGAGGTAACCTTAGGAGAATGCATGCGGTGGCTACGCTAGCTACACTCGCTACGCAGCTACATAGGTTCTGGAGGTAAGTCTAGGAGCATGCATGCGGTGGCTACGCTAGCTTCACTCGCTTAGCGGCTACAGGGGTTCTATAGGTAAGCCTAGGAGCAGGCATTCGGTGGCTACTCTAGCTACAATGACTACGCTGCTACACAGGATCTGTGCTAAACAGGGTCTGGATGTACGCCTAGGAGCATACATTCAGTGGCTACGCTAGCTACATTGACTATACCACTACAGAGGGTATAGAGGTAACCTTAGGAGAATGCATGCGGTGGCTACGCTAGCTTCACTCGCTAAGCGGCTACAGAGGTTCTGTAGGTAAACCTTGGAGCAGGCATTCGGTGGCTACTCTAACTACACTGACTACGATGTTACACAGGGTCTGGATGTAAGCTTACGAGCATGCATTCAGTGGCTACGCTAGCTTCACTGGCTCAGCGGGTACAGAGGGTATAAAGGTAACCTTAGGAGCATGCATGCGGTGGTTACGCTAGCTACATTCGCTACGTGCATACACAGGGTCTGGATGTAAGCCTAGGAACATGCATTCAGTGGCTACGCTAGCTACACTGACAACGCTGCTACATAGGTACTGGAGGTAAGCCTAGGAGCAGGCATGCAGTGGCGACTACATGCAAGTATACACTGGATATGCAGAGGGTCTTGATGTAAGCCTAAGAGCATGCATTTTAGTGGCTACAGAGGGTATAGAGGTAACCTAAGGAGCACGCATGCGGTGGCTACGCTATTTACACTAGCAACGCGGCTACAGAGGTTCTTGAGGTAAGCCTAGGAGCATGCATTCAGTGGCTACGCTAGCTACAATGGCCACGCGACTGCGAACCTTAGGTGAATGCATGCTGTGCATACGCTAGCTACACTCACTACGCGATTACAGAGGGTATAGAACCTTTGGAGGCAGCATGTTGTGGCTACGCTAGCTAAACTGGCTACACCACTACAGAGGGTATAGAGGTAACCTAAGGAGTATGCATGCGGTGGCTACGCTAGGTACACTCGCTATGCGCATACACAGGGTCTGGATGTAAGCCTAGGAGCATGC